TTACTAATTTAAATGGCTATGTTTTATTATTTATTGTTTATGTATAATCATTGTTTAAACGGATGATCGGATAATTCGAGCATAATTACTTTTTTGAATACTTTAGTTTATTTCATGTTCGGATAGTTAACGGATAGGCAGGATTATAAAAGAAGAATCTTTGAGAATATTGAAAGTTTTTTGAGAATCTAAAATAAAATTTATATTCTCAAAAAAAAAAAAATTCAGATACAATTCAAACTTACGCACAGTTTAGCACTAGTCGTAACTTTTGATTGACGAAATACGATTATTAGAGTAACTTAAATGAGAATTTAAAAATCTTGTGATTCCAAATTTCAAAGTCAAAAAATGAAATAAAAGATCTTTATCGTATAAATTTATAAACTTTTCGAATGTTGACTATGATAAAATAGAATTTATATACCACTTATTTTATTCAAAATTAGATTCCAAATCATTAATTTTGAAACCACTTATTGTAACTTATTTTCAAAACAAGTGAGAAATCAAAAGGTCCTATTTCTATTTTTAAAATTCCGACTCAGTGAATTAAATAGTCGAACACGTTAATAAAATTGGCTTTGTTTTGATAAATATCTACCGGTAAACAATTAAGTAAATAAGTTTATACGTTAAAAACTAGGATTTATGGATCACATAATTTTGATATAAATACGTCACTTTTTTGTCTGAAATCGGATGCCAAGCTATTTATGGCAATTGAAAATTAATGGGAGGTTTATTGTACCAATCGATTAAATACATACCTCTTTTTTATTAAACGACCACTAGACTTTTAACCACCAAAGAAAGGCCTGCACTAAATTCTCTTTCTCCAAGAGATATATAGGCCTTAGGTAAAGTGAGCCCCTGGCTTTTGTGAACCGTAATGGACCATGCAAGACGAAGTGGAATCTGTGTATGTGAACATGCATTACCTGTTTTACCCTCCCAGGTACGTTTAATCAGCGTAATTGGAACAACTTTTGTACCTTCTACATTGGTAATTGTAGGTCTTTTGTAACGATCGAAGGTTACAAAAACTGCTACAGGTAAACAAGGAGGTCCATGATCTTCAAACAAAATATCTTGGACAGTTCCTAATGAGCCATTAACAAGTCCAGATTCTGTCCAAATATTTGCCGTAGGCATGACGCGTGCTCCTCTTGCCAACAACAGCTTTGATTCAAGACCATGTGCAGTATCTGAGTCAGCTCTTTTAGCATCATTATCGCCGGTGTGTGTAGCAATAATTTTTGCAACTGGAACATTTAAAGCTCGGAGTTTGTCTATATTTACAACATCCACATCAGACCATTTTGGTAGAATATAAGTAGTTTCTGAAAACTGTTCACGCTCTGTTTTTGATAACTTTTCCTCAAATCGTGTAGTAAGTAACTTCCAATCTTCTATTGTAGATTCATCATCGCGGAGTCATAAAAGAATGTTTCTGAAACTCCTTTGTTCTTCAGAATTTTCAGATTGTTGCTGAACTATGTCAAGTTTGTATACCTCTTTGAATTGTTTGTATGCAGCATGACCGTTATTTGACAATGGATCTTTCTTAATACTGGTATATATTGGAAGATCGAGTACTGGTGGTAGTTGACCAAAATCACCAACCATAATAACAGATCTACCACCGAAGAGTTCGTTTCTGTGTTCGGAAAAAGCTTGTCGTAGATGCATGTCAATTAAAGCAAGCATGCGTCATCCTACCATGCTTTTCTCATCTATAATCACGTATATTACGCCTTCTAACCTTCTTTGTAACTGTTTTAGTCACTCTCCGTTTATATCCAAGTTATCATTACCATTATTTATTGCGATTGAAAGTGCTGAGTAGATCGTTATACTACTAATGTTAAATGCCGTGGCACCTGTTGGAGCAAGCACAAGTACTGGTGACTTAGACTCAATTCCTGCCATTTGATGAAGTGTCTGTCGAACTACATTTATAAGGTATGATTTACCCATCCCTGCTGTTTCTAATATTATAATTTTTAGTGGCTCGACACGACAGCCTGTGAGCACACTACGATAATGTAATTCGATTCATTTGAACACTTTCATTTGATTCTCATTCAAGGTTTAAGGATTCATAACATCTATGCATATATTCGCATTTTCATCTGTTTGACAAATTCTGCTGGATGCTTAACGTATGAAAGTGTCAACATTCACAAGATCAGTATCAGAGTAGCGTTGTCTAGCATCATCAACCCACAGATGAGTAAAATCAATACTATGAGATCCCAGGTCACAGGAATCATTTATGACTGCATTTGGTCCCATTTCTGCCAACAACATCCAATCCAATCTAAATTCTTCCTGCTCATCATCATCAGGTTGTTCGCTCTGATCATTATCATCAGTAGGTTCAACTTCATCTATATGGGGACCAAGTAAGTCGATTGGATCATTATAAATATCTTCATAATAACGATTATATAAGGTTGACCATTCAACGGTGTCACTGTTAGTTAGTTGCTCAATATCTCTATGTGGAACATGCAGAATGACTTTTATGCGGCAAAACTCCTCCCACTTGGGGCCTTTATGTAAGGGTGAAGGCCGTGGAAAGATACGTACTATATTTTCATGCTTGCATTTATTACATTTATTTCTGGTAAATTTATGGGTTAAATTAAGCTGAAATAATGAGAAATTTTCATATTCTGTAGGACATTCCCAGTATAATTTTAGAGGAGATTGCACCATACGCCCTACATTTTCTGTACTATCATATTCTCCATTCTCTCTACTACCACGAACCCATCGTGATACTTCTTTATTAAGGTTTAAGGAGACAAATGCACAACTAGAGTGGTAGAGTGGAATGCCTAAAAGAAGGTGACAAGTTTCTTGTGCAGAAATATCACGTTTTGCGACACTATGTAGTAGTAGTTTTTGGACTGATGAAAGTAATGGATTGTCTGGATTGCTGTTTTGTAGAATTTGGTTTAATATTTCAGAAAAAGTCGCTGATTGTGGTTCCGTCTTGCTTGCATACTTTGAAATGTATTGTAAAGCAGCATGAGTACTAAGAATTGGCTTTATGTCTACGTTTGCCCTCCAACCCTGTAGTTGAAGTCGATTATGTGGATTGATTAATAGATCATTTCTTGCCGTAATGACTTCTGGTCTGCCGGGTTGATCATCACGTATAATAGTATGATCAATAGTATCCTTTGGATAACCGAACCTACAGGATTGTTGGCCTGATCGATTTACACGAAGACAATATGAGGGGCTACATCTGGTGTGTTTTTGCAATTTATTAACCAATTCTATGTAATCTTGTAGATCGTCGTTTAGTTCTCCACTGCTTTTTTAACATGGGTGACATTCTGGAACTGGTGCATTGGGCTCAGGGTTAATCGTGGAAACCAAAGTATCAATATATTGCACCACTTCTTCCATTGCTTTTTCATCACTTTTCATCAGTACCCAGTCGATTATAGGCGCATTTCGTCATTTCCCGATTCCATGCACGTGAACACTACTGCGATGCTGCCATTCAAATCGATACGACCAATCTTCCAAATCCCATTGCTGCTTTATTATATCATTAAAGTAAGTTTCGAAGTGCTTGTTAAAGAACCAGGCTGCAATATGTGAATTATCAATTACATTTTGTCATCATGTTTCTTGGACAGAATTGTCGCTAGACGCAATAAGTTTATGAAGCTCTGGCCAATGAAAATCAGCGGCACTGAATGTAAAGAACACAAGACCTCTTGAACCTATTTGTTTTATCATGTTTGACAATTCACAATGACATGCTATCCAAAATTGTCTAGATCCGCATAAACCTTCACCGTATCTCATAATGCGATCAGCAACGTGTTTATCGCCTTGAGCAATCATGTCTTGAATATCTTTAACCGTAAGTTGTTCATTGCTTAGTTTTTGTTTAACGTATACCTTTCTCTCCTATAGTGCCCACCATCACATTATAGAATTCAGTGCAAAATATCTCCAGTGCGAATGTCGTGCAAATCTTTCATCTTTATACTGAAGCAGATGTTTAAAATATTCGGCTGGATTGATATCTTTAATACGTTCAGATCAAAGATCAGCACATCCTGTTGGGTAAAGAGTTGAAAAAGCACGTGAAATATAGCCTGGTGTTCTAAATTCGTTAATAGGTGTATTTTCTATATTTGGCCACATTAAAGGATTACTTGTGCTTTGCATATGGTTAAGAGTTTCGTTAATGGTGATATCTTCTCTATGGACTGGTGAAAGGGATGGAACAAAGGTGCGCATAATTATATCATCTTCAACTTCATTATCTGATTCTTCAGCAGCTATTTCATTGTTTGTGAGCTGATCATCTACATAACCATTTGTAGGTAAGGACTGAAGAACTTCTTCATCAATAGTAATTTCAGCATAATAGTGGTTGTTTTCTTTTAACCACATCAATGCACAAGTAACCTTTTCACAACAGACTTGAAAGTCCCTAAAAGAGGCTAACCTTGCAGACTGGCGATGTACAACTAACACATCTAATGACGAAGGGCTTTGGGAAAGACGGGTTGTGAACTCACACACATCCTGTGGAAAATTTATTACATTTCCACAATATCCATACTGCCCACTACGAAGTTTATAGACTGATATTACGGGAAAAACTTGCGCAATTAACATTTCTTCTATCTCCGTAAGTCCTTGCAATTCTTCAGGTACTTTGCCAGGGTTCATGTTATTTCCACTGGAGAACCTTTTTGGTAATTCTTTTTCACTGTAACATCGACGACACTCTCCCATAACAAGAATTATCCGATCATCCGTTTAAACAATGATTATACATAAACAATAAATAATAAAACATAGCCATTTAAATTAGTAA